GGTTCCTCGGAAAACGGATCTTGGAAGGTACGATCAAGGAGGAAATTCCGTACAAAATGTGTGATGTGACCTTCCAGGCCCCAGCCGATGAGCTGCCTGATGACACCAGGTGTCCATGTCCTGTTGAACGCCTTTGAAATATCAAGGGAGACTAACTCCGTTGTCCTGGGCTTCCTTAAGAACTTTCCCGAGGGCTGCAAAGTAAGTGGAGGAGCCGTTTCCTTGCCGGAACGCATGCTGCCGTTCGTCAAGGAAGCCGTTTGACTCCAGGAACTGCCTAAGACGACGATTTCGAGCGCAATCGGCCTAAAGGAGGAGGCTTCTACACTCGCCGTGTTGTTCTTCGGAATGGGCACAACCAAGCTTTGTTTCAGAGGTCTGGATACGAGTCAGTGAGCCATAGATCATTGAAGAGGGCGAGTAGCTACGTTTTTCCGTCGAGGGAGAGGTTTTTTAACACCGGATATCCAATCTCGTCCGGCCCGGCAGATTTACCACTACTGCTACCGATGGAAAATTGAAGCTTCGTTGATTTGGAGAGCAGGAATATCGGATGGAATTCGCAAGTCGCGAATGCTGCTTGCGGAAGGCAGGCCGACAAAATATTTTCCTAATTCGTCGGTGATATCCTTCGGTTCTGAGATCGAGGTGCCACGAGCTTGGCTAGTAGGTGGAGTAGACCGCCGCTTGCCACTCAGAGCGTTGACGCGATTCTACAATTCACTCGACGATTGGGATTCGTCGATTGAATCCAAGAAATCCATCCAGCTAGATCGCTTTGCGTCACGGATCACCTGTCTGCACGAGAGATGGCGTTCTCGGTAAAACTTCAGCGCTTCCTCCCTCCCAGGGTCGTCTAAGGCGAGACGCTTAAGCCGACGTAAAGCTTTGCGTCGCGCTTTCACCGCACATTTGGTATCCTAGTTCCACCAACGTAGGGCTTTTCGCCCAGGTACACTACTCGTCCTTGCCCAAGTAACAATTCTGGTTTTATAAGGGTTCTGTAGACCATGATTTAGACTTGTAGCATGCTTTAAAACCACCATTAAACTTGTACTTCCGTGAAGCTCGAGATGTCGTTCGGATCGCGTTGCTGGAGGAGAGCGTCGGATTTCTCCCTGAAGGCGTCCCAGTTGGCTTCCTGCGGAATTGATAGCATACTTTTTTGGAATGATTCAATACTTTCCAAAGTGATTCCAAAATTTCTAAAGTAATCCAGTGCGAAGTGATTCCGAACTTTTCTGAAGTAATTCAGTACTTTTTCAAGTGATTCCAAACTTTTATGAAGCAATTCAGTACTTTTCGAAGTGTTTCCGATTTTTTTCTGAAAAGATTCAGGAATTTTTCTGAAATGATTACAATTTTTTTCTGAAATTATTCAGTATTTTCTGAAGTGATTCAGCACTTTCAGAAGTGGTTTCAAACTATTATGAATTGATTAAGTACTTTCCGGAGGAGCTCCGAACTTTACTGAAGTGATTCCGAACTTTTCTGAAATGATTCAGTATTATCTGAAGTGATTCCAAACTTTTCTTAAATTATTCAGTTCTTTCCGAAATGATTAAGTACTTGCGGAAGTGATAACACACTTTTTTTTGAATGATTCAATACTTTCCAAAGTGATTGCAAAATTCCTAAAGCAATCCAGTGCGAAGTGATTCCAAACTTTTCTGAAGTGATTCAGTACTTTTTTAATTGATTTCAAACTTGTATGAAGCGATTCAGTACTTTTCGAAATGTTTCCGAATTTTTCTGAAGAGATTCAGGACTTTCTGAAATGATTCCAAATTTTTCTGAAAGGATTCAGTACTTTCTGAAGTGATTCAGTACTTGCAGAAGTGATTTCAAACTTTTATGAATTGGTTAAGTACTTTCCGGAGGAGCTCCAAACTTTACTGAAGTGATTCCAAACTTTTCTTAAATTATTCAGTTCTTTTCGAAATGATTCAGTACTTGCGGAAGTGATAACACACTTTTTTGAAATGATTCAATATTTTCCATAGTGATTCCAAAATTCCTAAAGCAATCCAGTGCGAAGTGATTTCAAACTTTTCTGAAGTGATTCAGTACTTTTTTAATTGATTTCAAACTTGTATGAAGCGATTCAGTACTTTTCGAAATGTTTCCGAATTTTTCTGAAGAGATTCAGGACTTTCTGAAATGATTCCAAATTTTTCTGAAAGGATTCAGTACTTTCTGAAGTGATTCAGTACTTGCAGAAGTTATTTCAAACTTTTATGAATTGATTCAGTACTTTCCGGAAGAGCTCCAAACTTTACTGAAGTGATTCCGAACTTTTCTGAAATGATTCAGAAATTCCTAAAGAAATCCAGTTCGAAGTGATTCCGAACTTTTCTGAAATGATTCATTTTTTTCTTAAATGATTCAGTACTTTATGAAGTGATTCAGTACTTGCGGAAGTGATAACACACTTTTTTGGAATGATTCAATATTTTCCAAAGTGATTCCAAAATTCCAAAAGCAATCCAGTGTGGAGTGATTCCGAACTTTTCTGAAGTGATTCAGTACTTTTTCAAGTGATTCCAAACTTGTATAAAGCAATTCAGTACTTTTCTAAGTGTTTCAGATTTTTTTTCTGAAGAGATTCAGGACTTTCTGAAATGATTCCAAATTTTACTGAAGTGATTCAGTACTATCTGAAGTAAGTCCAAACTTTTCTTAAATGATTCAGTTCTTTCCGAAATGATTCAGTACTTGCGGAAGTGATAGCATACTTTTTTGGAATGATTCAATACTTTCCAAAGTGATTCCAAAATTCCTTAAGCAATCCAGTGCGAAGTGATTCCAAACTTTTCTGAAGTTATTCAGTACTTTTTTAAGTGATTCCAAACTTGTATAAAGCGATTCAGTTCGTAGTGTTTCCGATTTTTTCTGAAGAGATTCAGGACTTTCTGAAATGATTCCAAAGTTTTCTGAAATGATTCTGTACTTTCTGAAGCGATTCAGTACTTGCAGAAGTGGTTTCAAAATGTTATGAATTGATGAAGTACTTTCCGGAGGAGCTCCGAACTTTACTGAAGTCATTTCAAACTTTTCTGAAATGATTAGTACTATCTGAAGTGAGTCCAAACTTTTCTTTAATTATTCAATTCTTTCCGAAATGATTCAGTACTTGCGGAAGTGATAACACCCTTTTTTGGAATGATTCAATACTTTCCAAAGTGATTCCAAAATTTCTAAAGCAATGCAGTGCGAAGTGATTCAGTACTTTTTTTAAGTGATTCCAAACTTGTATAAAGCGATTCAGTTCGTAGTGTTGCCGATTTTTTTTCTGAAGAGATTCGGGACTTTCCGAAATGATTCCAAATTTTTCTGAAATGATTCTGTACTTTCCGGAGTAATTAAGGAATTGTATGAGGTGATTCAGTACCTTTCGAAGCGATTCCGAACTTTTCTTAAGTTATTCAGTTCTTTCTGAAGTGATACCAAACTCTTCTTAAATGATTCAGTGCTTTCCAAAGTGATGCAGTGCTTTTCGGAAGTGATAACAATTTGTTTTGGAATGATTCAATACTTTACAAAGTGATTTCAAAATTTCTAAAGCAATCCAGTGCTTTCCGAAATGTTTCAGTTGTCAGATTCAGAACTTTCAGAAGTGATTCCAAACTTTTCTTAAGTGATTCATTTCTATTCAGAGTGAATCAGTACTTGCGGAAGTGATTTCAAACTTTTAAGAAAATTCTGGAATAATTTTAATCTTCTCCGAAGTGGTTCAGTAATTTCTGAAGTGATTCCGAACTTTTCTGAAATTATTCAGTACTATCTGAAGGGATTCCAAACTTTACTTAAATGATTCAGTGTTTATAGAAAATTGGTAATGTATTCAAAACCTAACACCTTTTCGTGGCGGTTGCTATTTTAGATTTTCGATTTACCCCCTGTATCTTCCCGTAAGACGCAGTCTACATCAAAAGTCAAAGGGAAAAAAGGTTAAAACTGTAAAACATTGAGGGTCAAACAGTTCGTGCAATTTTAGCAATCACTCTGATCCGTTGAAATACGCTTCTCTCTTTTGGAGTTGACTCGTGAGCAGTTCTTTGAAAGATAAAATCAAATGAACAATCCAACTGATAATGCCCAAACTCCACTGAGCCTTTAAAGTTTTAACTCCTTCTGTCAAACATGAGCAGTTCTTTAAACTGTTTAAGGGTCTGTTTAATCATTTGTCTCCAAAAAAATGCTCGCTCACGGATTTTGACAGCCGCTCCAAACACAAGTCCACCTTAAAACCCATCTACATCCCGAAGACTGCTCTCACCACAGGGGAAAACTACTCACTTACCACAATCGCAAACAAAGGTGCACTCATCCGCAATCATATTGAATTCTCAATTCCCGAAAGCTTCTGTTTGTCAATTTTCTACAACCTCCCGAAGAAGCGGACCAAAAATCCCCTCCCATCGCCCATACCATAGAGATGCAAAAATAGCTCGAGAGCCGAGGAGCTTTACCGAGCGAATTCGATAAATCCCATCATCCGCAGAGGATAAAGGCACATAACCGGTTGGAAATTGAAAATTCCTCGGAAGTAGCTCGGTGAAGCGTGAAAATCTCTCGCCAATCCTCGCAGCAAAACTATGTCTTCGACTGCCGACGCCAGAGGCGGAGAGGCGGAATCCGAAAGTGGGGGGGCGAGCGGTGAAAAGTAAACGAATGAAAAGTTGATGAAATTGGAAGTAAGACTAAAATAAACATCCATTAAGCTGCAGCAGCAGCGGTAGCTATATCCTTGTATATGCTCTGGTGAACCCGTAGGATGAGAAAGGCTAAACTTTGGCCTTCCATCCATTTTAATTATCGTGCCGTGACCCGAATTGAGGAAAGTAAATTGTTTTAAAATGTATACCCTCATTACAGGCTTAAGCTTTGACTTTTCCCGAGCGTTGAAGTGATGATTTATTGAACGCGAAAATTTGCTGTCTGATCGCAGCGAGGATTAATCTTGCCTAATCTAACCTTAGTAATCAATCGATACTCACATCCAGTAAACTCTTCAGCGTCATATCCGAGTACGAGGGCCGCGTCAGGTAGACGACCGTTTCCAGCGCGTTGATCGCCAGCGTCGTGTTGTCCTTGACCATCTTGACCGTGTCCTGCAGCAGGTACTGGGCCGTTTGGTTGTACAACTGCGGTGGCTGATCGAACTTGGCCTCCAGCTCCGACAGGACCACCTTGGTTTTGAGATTCTGCTTCACCATCTCGGTCTGTGGGTGGAAAAGAAAGGAAACAAACCATCATAGATTTTCAGACTACATAATTAACGTTAATGAAAAGTGATGTCGCTCGCTGTTCGTCGGAAGCACGCACTCCGGAGTCAGTACACTCGAGCACAGTGAGAATCTTAAATCTACATCCATCTTGCACGACATAACAAAGGAACATGACCCGTTTTTCTTACAGTGTTTTTTTTTCTTTAAAAAAGAAGTCATCTCGTTCCGACTATTTATCTTCCCGGGAGGGGTCGAGTCCGTGCTCAGTTTTGTAGCCGCCAGTGTTATATGCCACCGTTCATAACACCACAGCAACAGCAACAACGCCCGAGTAGAACAAGCAATGGAGCAATAATGGACGAACCCACAGCCCACATCCCACCCGGTTCAGCATCTCCACCTTAGCTCGGAGCCGTCATGTTTTTGCCCCTGTTTCTTACGACACCGGCCACATGGTCGCGATGATGGTGGTTCTCGAGTACTACGCGTTCCGTTCGGCAACGGAAGAGAGAGAGAGAGAGAGAGAGAAAGTGGAAAAACTAATCCAAAGTGAACATAAATAAATGCCAACAATTTAATTGAAGCAAAGTGGTACGGCACGCAGATTGGAACCTGAAACTGCCAGCGAGCGACCCGCAGAATGCATACACTTTAAATCGTTGGACGCAGATGCCACATGGGGTCTTTGGATGATGGACGAGCTTCAATTAAGTTGTTTGGTCAAGTCAGACTTTGCTCTCCGGTTTGGCAATATCCGATAGCTGGAGGGCAGTTACTCTTAGTCATAATTATACAAGGTTCGAAAAGTATGTGTAAATTTAAGCTTTGAGCATTTTTTGATGTAGGACTACGTCTGTGATTTCTACATGGGGGTTCCCTTTGTGAAAACCGAAAATGGAACATGTAACGAGATTATGAAAGATTTTGAACGTTAATAACTCAGCTGCCCCTGGACCAATTTCAATAATTTTATCACCAATCGATCAGAAATATTTGTACGCAACAAAAACAAAAACTATTGCAACAGTGGTAAAGCATTGTCCAAAAGCGTCGAAATAACTAACAAATCCACTAATTGCGAACATGCGGCTTCCCCAACACAGTCATCAGAGAGTCGTTAGTAGACGAAACAAGTCGAAGTGGCATTCGCCTCCGATTTTCAGGCGTGTGCGAATAGGGAGGATGCGATCGCCTTGGTTGACAACACTCCCACCTCTTCCAGCGTCTCGCCTGTTACCGTCAAGACGACGTCGTCCGCAAAGCCAACGATCTCAACTCCTTTGGGCAGCTTCAGCGTTAGCACGCTGTTGTACATCCCGTTCCAGAGCGTTGTACCAATGATGGAGCCTTGTGGAACTCCCGCTGTGATCCTAATCGATCTCTGGCCGATGTCTGTTCCGTAGACCAGAACCCGGTTCTGGAAATAACTCCTCAGGATCCTGCACAGGTAATCAGGGACTCTTATTCTATGCAGCGCTTCGGCGATGGCCTCCCAGCTGGCGCTGTTGAACGCATTCTTGACGTCGATCGTTATCACGGCGCAATATCGATCTCCTCTCCACTGTCTGACCCTTATAGACTCGGAAACTACTGAACCAATTGGCGTGAAAATTTGTATGCAGGGGTTTTTGGGGCCAGGAAAGATTCTTATAATGGTTCAAGACCCACCCCCTGTAATGGAGGGCTCCCATACAAATGAAACAGAAATTTATGCATAGCTCGAGAACTAATCACAGTAATTGGAACCAAATTTGGCATGTGGAGATATAAGACGATGGTCATATGAGGAAGCCCCTTAGATAAGAGGGGACTAATATAAACTCAAGCTAATATTGAATCTCGAGCAAGGCCGGACACACACGGCCTACGCCGCATAACTGGTTCCAAACGACAACAAAGCCATAAGCAACGATGGTTTCTTGACGTTTGGAACCAAATTCACGTATCTAGATAGAGCTGGAATTAGGGCGTAACTGCTTTTGTAAACAATGACTTCTATCGTCGATTTCTAGGATCTCAAGGCTCGTCCACGCAAACCTACATAACCGTCGGGTAGGGGAAGTCTTCCTCTACCCGATGGTGTTGTTGATTTGCGTTGGTGAGCCTTATCTTTCTAGGAATCATCGAAAGAAGTCATTGTTTACAAAAGCTGTTACGCCCAACTCCAGTTCTATCTAGATATGAAAAATAAATGAGCGTAAATAGGTGAGGCCCAGTAAATTTGTTGTCGCTTTCGTTCTCCGGTTGATTGAATGGATAACGGAGTTTGTCGTCACACTCCTTCCACCGTTCAAACAACAAGAGAACGAAAGAGATGACACATTCACTGAGCCTTACATATTTACATCTCATCGACGGCTGTTCAGTACGCCGATTTTATAGCACATTCCGCCCCTGTTTACTCCCTATGGTAAAATCCAGAGACGATGTTTAATAAGCAGGCTTGCTTCCACTCACTTGCTATAAAACATTATTTTTCGGAATTATGAAATCATTAAATATTATAATGATAGTTAGTAGTTGTAAGTCACAAGATAAGGTTGTAAACTAGATGTTTGACACATAAAACCTGTCATTATTGCTTTCAGTGCGTCACAATCAGCGATTTTACGACTCGTGAGCGCTCACTCTGAGTGAACGCTCACGAGTCATAAATTCGCTGACTGTGACGCACTGAAAGCGAAATTGACAGGTTTTATGTGTCAAATACATATCTTTCAACCTTTTCTTGTTTCTGACAAGTACAAACTTTCATTATAGCATCCAATTATTCCATAATTCCGAAAAACATTTTTTATAGCGAAGTGAGTGGAAGTAACCCTGTTAATAAGAAACGCTCGAAGACTGAAGCCAAAAGTTCCAATCGAACCGTCAAACGCGGTTCCAATCGAGCAATGTAAATAAACACGAGCGCTTCACGAGGAGTATTGAGATGGTGATTGAAATTTAATTTTTGGGATTTAAATAATTATAATTAAGTTTCCCTAATAAAAAAATACCATAAACGAAAGATAACCCAAACTATTAAACTATTCTACAAATGGTTTGAATGATACCCGAAACACGTCGTTAGACAACATAACCATAACAGTTTCATTGTGGTTGCGTATGAAAAGTGCAATTGGATACTATTTGACTTTTGGAATACACAAGTGAAATCTTTTGAGATTAATTGTTTATGTTTACATCAATGCCAAAAAGCAAATATTTAAAAAAAAATACAAAGCCGCTGATCGACTGTCAAGTTTTTAATCACAAGTGAATTTGGTGAAAGACTTCAAAAGAGGGACTCCTCGATTAATTTTTTTAAAAGGACGTATCTGCTTTTATAAACAATGCATTTCTAGATAGAGCTGGAATTAGGGCTTAACAGCTTTTGTAAACAATGACTTCTCTCGATGATCTCTCGAAAGTCGTGACTCTTCCTGGCAAGTCGACATCACCATCGAGTGGGGAAAGACTTCTCCTAGTCGATAGATATGTTGGTTTGTGTAGACGTGCCTGGAGTATCTATAAATCAACAAGAGAAACTTTTGTTTACAAAAGCTGTTACCCCCTAATTTCAGCTCCATCTAGATTTGACCCACTCACCACTATCAGGTAGTGATGGTAGTGTTAGCATACGTGGGCGAGCTGCCAGTTAAACCAAATCGACGAGCAACTGCATTGTTTACAAAAGCAGATACGTCCCTTCGAAAAAAATAATCGAGATTTCATTCATACAGGGTAGGAAGCATGAACCGCAGATTGCATAATTTTGAGCAACGCTCTGTAAAATATCCGCACCAATATGGTATATTTGATTTCACTCTGTGTCAAAAATTGTTTATTCAAATACGACGGTATTCAACGATACTACCGAAACGATCAAAAAGTTATTCGCTCAATGACTTTTAAATTCGAAATAGACACAAAACTGTGGGCTGCCAAACCTGGCAGACAAAATAACTAAAATGGCCGTGCAACCAGATTTACTTTTATTCTCTCCGCGCGTCTCTTATAAAACATCGTATCTGGTAAAATCCCATAAGCATCTGGCAATCTGTGCATGCAGTCTACCGGACTTTGCATTATCTCTTCATTCCACCCTGGTACCAGCAAGCCACAGTCTCTTCACGCAGAAATTGACAGTATCTTATTCTAGGATTGGAAGGGTAAGGAAATATCAACAATCAATACGAAACTAACGATTTTAAATTGGCTCACTTCTTGACTAGCCTATTGGTCCCAAGCAAACGATTAACGTACCCCATTCTAGTCGAAATTCTAGTACTACGCAATGTTTGTTTTGATTCGCTATGAAAGTTTGACAGATAAAATGAGGGGTTATTGGTTTTTCCTATGTTTCGAGGAGTGAATCGATTAGCTGGGGACCGAAGAGAGTACCAGAGCTGAGCCAAAAAGTTGAGAATGTTATTTCGGGACCTTCTAGTCTTAGAGTTACCTCTATGGAAATATTCACCATGTTTCACGCACAGACTGATGTTTTCTTATGGGCTTTTATCATAAGAGTAAAGAGTTACAGAGTGACCGAAAAGGCGAATTGTCATTTGTCTTGGTAATGCGCAATGAGATGTAACAGGCCCAGATAATTTGTCGTCTCTTTTGTTCCGCCGCTGTTTAAATCAAGGGGGGAAGGTGGCTGTCAAATACAAACAATCGTCGCCTACCTCGCATAACTGGTTCCAAACGTAAACAAGCCATAAGAAAGCTACAGGGTTTGTTTACGTTTGGAACCAATTTCATGCAAGAATGATCAGTAGACTGATTTGACAGCACGTCTCACCCCAGGTTTAAATGCTTGACGTCAACCGTTTTAACCACGGACGATTACTGTCAATAAAAGCAATCGTGTAGGGTTCCCTTGATTCAGCTAGCTGCACTCATAAAATTCAGCACATTTTTATTGGCGAATTTTCATGTAAAATTCCACATGATTTCCCTGTGCCCACATATGAACAGAATCCACTCAGAAGTACCGTATGCGTGATAAT